TGTTGAGCTATGGGATTTTTTTACCTCTTTTATGTTAGTACAACCACCTGCCTCTAATATACGGTTACAATCTCGACTTTGTCATGATTTTTTGTAGCGTTCTGGTCTATGATGTTTATCTCATTATAAATTCAATTCGCCTCGTGTGAAACATCAACGTGAGAGTTTCAGGATTTTGTATTGCAGCAGCTTGTGATTTTGTACTTTTTTTGTTAGTTGTATTCTGCGTGACCGTTGTTGTACACAACTTAGTTGGAGTGTTGGCGTTGCGCCAATTTTTGCTGTCAGCCATTCTATTATTGCCAACGAATAATTGCGCGAATAACTATGTACAGGGTGTTTCAGCCAATGTCAAATATAATAGCTGAAAATGGTTTTTTGCAGAAGCTTTTCTACTGCGAAGGAATTGTCGGTAGATGTACCAAATCTTTTTCAACATTCGATTTTTATAAAATTTAATTTAATAATTTGAAAATATCATATATTAATAAAGTACTTGAACACTAAAAGTGTAATTTTCACACATGACGTGAGAAATATTGGAAGAAAAAATTTTGAGTGGTTTCAGGCTTGGCAATTCCCCATCTTGAAATCTAATTTCGTCGTCCTGTATAGCAGTAGAACATAAGTTACTAAACATAAGTAACTAAATTGCTGAGAATTGATAATCACCGAGGATTTACGGGCATTTACTATATGTGACCAGGTTAACTGGAAAAGAATTACTAATACCAAGTCAATTAGCGTTATGGAGCTAAGAAAAATAGTATACGACAAAGCATAGATCAAGAAATAGGTGCTTAATGATGTAGAAAACGATCCCAAAAAGGCGCAAAATAGTGACCACACCGAGGGTAAACAGATGATTGGAAGAGAGCGTATAGCGTATTGAATAGTGAGTGTATTGGGCCATACATATATCTTGTCTAACGAAAAGACTGGAACCAGAGTTTTAACCTTGTTTAGGGGTACTACTTTAACTAATACTAATACTAATCTTCAAGGAAGGGGTATAGCAAATTGATTATCTCGTGGCGTGTACGTCATATTTGCGCGCAGGGCAAAGTCCGACAGGAGCTGTATAAGTGAATTGTAAAAACATGGGTTTAAACGTAGTACAGTGGAATTTCTAATTGAATTGGGAACAAACTTAAGTTAGCGGAATTAATTTATTTAAACCTTATTTATATGTTTTTGAGAAAAATATTAATATTTTTGTAGAAAAAATTTGATTGCAATTATCGTAATTAATTAATGTAAAACGTATTTGGATGTAACTTGCATATTTTATGGAAAAAATATTCTTTTGTATAACATTTAAATATAGTTTTAAGAAAATACAATTTTTAAAAATTTGTGTTAAAATATGTATTATTTTTACAATAATGGTTAACAACCCAAATCGCTGTCATTTTCTTCATCTGAAGAATTGTCATCAGAGCTAGTATCACTTTCGTCTTCTCTAATTGTTATTATCAAATCTTCAACTTGATCGACTATATGATGTCTCTCCAGATACTTTTGCTCAATTTTTTTAACATGATTACAGATATTTTGCCATTGGTCCACGGTAACGTTCTGAAACTTTTCTTCCGCTAATTTCCAGACATCATCCAACTTAAAAGTTGTGTTGCAAGCAGCAATTTCATTTTTAACTAATGCCCATATTTTCTCTATGGGATTTAACTCTGGGTGATAGGGTGGCAGACGTAATGCTACTATCTCTTTGCAGCTAAGATCCTATCCACAACATATTGTTTGTGAACTGGCTTGTGCCTTTTTATTAAAGCATATAATTCAGGCTTCGTTGCTTTAGCCTCGTATAAAATAACCTCTTTCCATTAGCCATTGTTGCATAGAGGCTTTCTTCCATGAAGTATTGTTGTCCGTTTGTGGTAAGAGGCGTTATCTAACACCAAGACACATTTTCTTGGGGCGGCCGGCATAAATTTTTCTTGCAACCATTTTGTAAAATTTTTGCCGTTCATATCGTCATGGTAGTCCCCTGTTTTACAACCAGATTTAAATATATTTAATGCCCCAGGTACAAAACCAGATGCACCTCCAGCATGTACAATAATTAGGCGTTTTCCTTTTGATGCTGGCGATTTTAGGCATTTATTTTTGCCATCGTCCCATGCCTTAGGTACCGTGTGGGAACTGTGTATATAAGTCTCGTCACAGTATATAATTTCTCGGCCTTCTTCTCTATACTTTTGAATGTTTCTTAAATACTGAATTCTTTTTAGCTTTATGTCATGCGTTTCCATCAACATTTTCCTGTTGTCTTCAGTTCTTCTCCAACGGAATCCTAATTTTTTTACTAGCCTACGAAAAGAATCAATTTTTCCCGTAAAATTGATAGTACCTTCTTCATTTTTAACGGCTTGAAATACAGCTTTCATCGTAGGTCTCCTTTTATGTACGGCGGTAAATGAATAAATTATTCTTCGAACAATCTCCTCTTCATACTCATCTATTGTACCTTTTGAGGTTGACGGTTTGTTTATATGCTTCCTATACCATAAATCGCAAATTATACAACAAATCGTTACAAGCATAATATACCAAATGTTTTTATCACTTTTCTGTTAATCCTCTCTCTAATGGGCAAAGTATCTAATAAGATACAATTAGTATTTGTCCGTATACCGGGTAATGTATCCAGAAAGATACTTATTCAATTTTCTTCAGTACCTGGCAATGTACACCCGAGGATACTAACTAAATTGTCGCTTAACTGGCAATGTGTCTTCCTAGATACTACTATTTCAAAGTGATGCTATCTGTTTGTTTATAGACAAATTGTGAATATTATTTTATACAATTATTTGCTGAAGACCCAATTAACTATAATTATAGTTTGCCAATCCATACAATAACTATTAACACATAAAAAATTAATTTACTTACCGAATGACACATATTAGCACTTTTTTGGAAGTCATTTTGAGCAAGTCTACACAAAACACTCTCTGATTGTGGCAAAACTCTGTGTATAGCATTCAAATTAATTTGTTAGTTAGCCGAATGCTATAGGGAGAGAGTACTTTTAAAATCTTGCGGCAAACTTAGTTTATGTAGAAGAAGTATAATTTAATAAATGACGTATCCTGGAGTGCACACCGTCAAGTTAAGGGTTAATAACGTAACAAATAATTGCTATGCTAGTTAACACTAAGTGATTTAGAAAAAACGTTTTAAACTAGCTTGTTCTAGTAATGCAACTTGACTTTAATTTTGTATATTACGATTAATGTTTCGATTAGCTGTATTCACTGATATTCTTGAAAATAAATACTGATTAATAAGTTCTCCTAACATAAATCTGTAATTATGAAAAAAATTAGACTTTGCGTTAAGTTACCAAAGACAGCACATAAAATATGTTAGTTCAACAAATACGTCTTCTGAAAGAACAAATCAACAACAGTGAATCGGTTATTATAACACTGAGTAGAAAACTTTTATTAGATATTACTCATTCGTTATAAATAACTTTGTACAAATAACAATGTAAATAAAAATATATTTACCGCAAATAGAAAATTGTTAAACTCTTCAATAAACTGTTAATTCAAAAAAGTTTTTATATTTAATACCTAACTTACACACTAACTTTACTAGACACTTAGTACCTAACTACACACTATTTTTACTAGACTAATTATTAAACGTGTAGAAGCGATCCGTTTGCTTCGGTTGATAGAAAATTTGTGGCAATGGTTTTAGATCCGTTAGTAACCACGACCGTCAGACGAATATCGGCCGTTGGCGCACGATGACGTACACGCCACGAGATAATCCACAGGCTATACTTCTTTTTTGCGGAGTATTGGTGGTGTGACAAAACATGATTGATGTTATATGTGAAGAAGTAGTGGATTACTAAGGAGCCGGGGTTCAGAAGGTGGCGTGTTTGTGTGAATGATGTGTTAGGAAGGGCACAAAAGGAATTTAGGTGAGCTATGCCAAACATGTAGAAGAAGGAACTTTAGGGTTTACCAGCCATACAATAGAAACATCTATTAATCAGCATTTTTGGGGAGCAGTTGTTTGCTGCGATATTTAATCGGGACTGTTTTTAGAATATTCAAATACTCATCAGGAAATTCGTATCCATTGTTGTGTAGAAGTTTAGCTGGAGGGAACGGATTTTTTCTTTGAGGAAACCTGATGAGTATTTGCCCTCGGCGATTGCAAGGTGTCTTTAATTCTTGTTTTGCTCGATTATTTGAGCTTGTGATGGTTCGAAGGACATACCTCTTACTGAGAGATAGGATTCTGTCCTTAATAGGTGTTATATTTGCCAATATGTATATGTGTGCTGATGGATAGTGACTGCTCTTCCTCATGCGGGATCTGAGGATTTTTCTTTCAGTAGCTATGATGGCATTGATTTCATGTGGTTTAAGGGAGGCGTAGATGCATGCCTTGTATTTGATAATAGGTCTAATGAATGTTTTATAGGTGTGAAATAGTGTGTTAGATGACGTCATGTCCAATTTATTGGATAGCACTGCCAGGAGTCTACACCTATTTCTCACTCTGTTAAGAGTTTCTTGAATGTCAGTTTTTCAGTTGAGAGTCCTAGTAAAATGAGTCCTAACAGAGTTAGTCGGCCATGGACATCACGACAATTTGAAGATTTAAATAGAATTAGTCGTGTTTTGGAGGGATTTATGTTCACTCTCCATTTATTGCACCACCTAATGACTTCGTCTAGATCAGCGGTCGGGGAACCGGGGTAAATTACCCCAAATGGGGTAAAAATTAAATTTTTGGGGGTAAAAATGAAACTTGTGAGTAAAAAGTATATATTTTAATTTGATTTTTTATAAACCTGTGTGCCGTGCAGTCAGAATACAAATACATTGACGAGTCAGAGAGTTATAGTTAGTTGCTGACAATCATTAATCATCGATATATCGATCAAGGTAAGCCGCAATTTGAAAATTTAATTTAAGTATTTTACAACTATTATTTTCTGACTCCTTCAGATGGCAGCAAATAGAAAAAGAAAATATCAAGACGAATTCCTTAATTACGGTTTTACACAAATAGAAGACAACGGTACAATGAAACTACAGTGTGTTGTATGTATGAAGGTATTGACTTCAGAATCTTTCAAAAAAGGTCAATTGAAGAAACATTTAGATAATTTGCATTCACACCTGTCTTCCAAACCGCGAGAATACTTTGCAAATTTAGAAATATCTGTTAAAAGACAAAGATTGAATAGCAACTTGTTTGGTACATTTGATCAGCGTTCAGCATCAAGGGCTAGCTTTGAAGTAGCCTGGTTGATTGCTCGAAATAAGAAACCATACACTATTGGTGAAGATTTGGTTAAACCAGCTGCTGTAAAAATGACAGAGATTATGTGTGGTCAAAAAGAAGCGAACAAACTGAATTCAGTGCCCTTGTCTGCGAGAATTGTGAAAGAACGAATTTCTATATTAGCCGAAAATGTTATTTTCTCATTAATGAACAAGTTATTTTCTCATTAAAACAGGCTAAATATTTTGCTATTCAGCTTGATGAGACAACTGATTTTAGTAACAATTCACAGCTAATGGTATATGTTCGCTACAAAGATGCAGATAATTTTGAAGAGAAATTGCTGTTTTGTTCTCCTCTCGAGTTAAGATCTCGTGGAATTGATGTCTACAATAAAGTAAATGAATACTTCAATGCGCAAAGTTTAAAATGGGAAAACTGTATTTCAGTATCTTTGGATGGAGCTCCAGCTATGCTAGGCCATATTAATGGTTTTTCGGCTTTCGTAAAAAAAAGTAACCCAAATATTGAAGTTATTCACTGTATGATCCATCTCCAGGCCCTTATGGTCAAATATTTAGAACCTACACTGGAAGCCGTCATGCATGATGTCATCAAGATTGTAAATTTTATCAAGGGACATGCACTAAACACGCGGCTATTTCGTGAATTATGTCAGGACGGTGAAGCCGAATATACGGACCTACTTTATTATACAGAATTAAGGTGGCTCTCTCGCGGAAATGTACTAAATCGAGTATGGACTTTCAAAACTGAAGTGGAAATTTTTATGGTTGATCAAAAAAATATTCTCTCAGATAAGTTTAAAAACTCTTCCTGGGTTGCATATCTCGCATATTTAGCTGACATTTTTGAGTGTATAAATATATTAAACAAAGAATTGCAAGGAAAGAATATTAATATCATATCAGCGAGAGAAATAGTGTCAGCGTTTGGATTAAAGCTGCAATATTGGAGTCAGAAAGTATAACAGAACAAGATAGCTTCTTTTCAAGGTTAGCTTTGTTTTTGGAAGATTGCGAAAATATTACTTTTTCTGACATCAAGGATACAATTGTAAGACATCTTATCAAACTCAGAAAGCGGTTTTCAGATTACTTTCCAGATCTTGATATACGCACTGTCAGTTGGATTGTAGATCCTTTTAAATGTGAAATTGATATGATACCAGAAGAACCTTCAGGTTTAGCAGAAGCAATTCTTGAACTTCGATCTAATACTGAAGCATGTATTCAATTTGAGAGTAAACCAAATCTGTCGTCTTTTTGGATATCAAAAGCTGCAAAGGCTTTCAAAATTGCACATGAAGAGGCGGTTAAAAAATTGCTGCCATTTGGAACAACATATTTGTGCGAACAAGGCTTTTCCACTCTAGTGAACATAAAAACGAAGAACAAAAATGGATTAAACGCGAAGACTGTATTCAAATCGCTCTTACATCAAAAAGTCCCAATTTTGAAGCTATTGTATCGAACATGAAACAACATCATTTCTCCAAAACGTGAAGGAAGAATGTTTTCAATTATTCTTTTTTTATAATTTTTTCAATTCTAATTTTTGTTAGTACAACCATTATTATTATTATAATTTGTTACAGTACCGCAATGGGTTTTAATTTTTTATATCTTATTATTGTTATCTATTATTATGTTATGTATTTCTAGGAATCATAGAAATTGAATAAATGATGTTTATTTTATGTTTTAGTTATTGTTTTCTGTTCAAAACTATCATGGGGGCTATAATATGAATGATGCTAAAAAGAGGCCTTTTTTTTGCTTTTTTGTTTTTTGCCTTGTGTAATATCAACTTACACAAAAATGTTTTGGGGTAATGATTAAAAAAGTTCCCCGACCGCTGGTCTAGATAATTTTGTGCTCTCTCGAATACCGACAACTGTCCACGCTCTCTATGTGCTTCTAACGTGAGGAGAGCAGTGTCATCAGCGTACAGTAGAATGGTCTCCTATCTATGCTGTGGGCAGGAGGTGTCACTATTGTAGACTGTGTATAATATTGGAGCAAGAATTGAGCTCTGAGGTACTTTTGGAACTTTTGTAACTTTTGGAGTGAAGGGTGTGGATAGGGTGTTGCCGAGTTTGATCCAGATCGTCCGATTGGAGAGATAGCAATTTATTACTCTAACGAAAGTTGTGGAAATCCTACAAGGTGGTGTTTTTCGACAAGGTCTGTATACCAGACTTGATCAAATGCCTTCTGGACGTCGAGGAATATGCCTATGACGTGTTTCCTTTAGTTAAGTAATTGTAAGATGAACGTTGTTGCTTCAATCAATGCATTTTGCGTGGAGTGTCCAGGCCTGAATCCGAATTGGTAATCTGGAATGGCAAGGTGGGCGTCTAGGAATTCGACGATTCTTTCCTTATGGATCCTTTCGTAGACTTTACCTAGGGCGCTCAATAAAGAAATAGGTTTGTACGATTCAGAGTTGGTAAAGGTTTTCCCTTGTTTGGGAATCATGACTGTGATTATCACCTAAGATTATTCGTCAGACTTGATTACCTTCATCAGCACAACTGACCCTGTTACTTTCGCTTGTTTGTTGACAGCCTTATACTTTTTATAGTTTGAAGATCTGTGTCCAACAATTTTTTGCCACTCATTATGTATTCTATCTTCTTTTTCTTTAACTTTATCGGATTACTAAGAATTACAAAATTTATGTTTGTCAAACTTATTTGTATAAAGTTTTTTTCAAGTATTTTAATTCCTGCCTTTTTAATTTAAATACATAATATCTGTCGTATTGCCTCAAGCTGTATTAGGACTTTCTTTCATGTTCCAGCTTATTTTTTCCTGCTATTTAAGCCTTGAATAAACGGTACTTTTCATAATAGTACCAGCCATGTGATTTTTTCTCGTCTTTGTGATCTTTTATAATTTACACAATCTCCAGCACAAAAACCTTATGTTCTTGACCTACTGTCGTAGTGACTATTACTTTGTAGTACTTACATAAAGTTATAGAATCTACTATTATATATTTAATTTAATGTTTGACAAAGTCCCACCCTGTACGAACGCAAAAAATTTTAGTACGGATGGTATTACCACTTGGTGAGTTAATTTGAAGTCGCGAGTATATTTTTGTGGAAAATTAACCAGGAAGTTTACTCGGAATGCAGTAACAAATTATGCGTTTCAAGAACGCATCCATTATGCGTCAAATAACGAAACGTTTATTTCAGAATGGAATTAAAAACGGGTGAAATATAGGGCACTTGGAGTAGGCAGGCAAAAATAATATTTAAGATTTGTGTGACACGCTTGTTTGTATAAAAGAAAAACAAAAACAAAGAAAACATAAAATATATATTATGAACTTTCCAACAGTAGATATAAATACAATTAGGCCAGTACTAGAATTAATTTAATTAGAAAAACTGTTATTTTTTACTAGTTTTCATGTTGACATTTTTTTTATTATTACATTACCTGTTTACAATCTACTCTATACACAGAGTAATAAGCATAGGAGAGAGTTGCCAATATTGTACCGCTAACCTATTTTGAATTTTAATTTGAATAATATATGTTGTATTTAATCGAACGATGTATTAGGATCCAAAAAACCCAGTATTTAAGCTCGTTAACACCCACCACGCTCCTGAAATAGAGACAGACCCTTACCACAATTAGTAAATCCTTTGCTAGCAGCTATAGACCTGAATATAACTACCCCCATCAGTACTTCCAATAATCCTCCATGGACCAATAAGCTACCTGCTTTCAATACTAGTCTAACTCGACATAAAAAAGAAGACACTCCTAACCACCTCCTTAGACAATTATTTCAAGAAGCAATAAATGCAAAACAGTACAATCAAGTTCTTTATACCGACGCATCTAAAGATGAAAAGAATACTGGCTGTGCGGTCTGTACTGAAAACATAACCTTAGCTCTACACCGACTACCAACCACTTGTAGTATTCACACTGCAGAATTATATGGTATCCTTAAAGCTCTTGAAATGACTTCTCCTAATACAAAATCTCTAGCTATATGAACTGATTTTTTTTCTTCAATTTAGTCCATTGCCAACATATACTCGTTAAATCCGATAGTCCAAAAAATTCATCATATCTGTCATGAAAACCACGGCAGGTGAACATCAATAACCATTCTTTGAACCCCAGCTCATGTGGGCATACGTGGAAATGAGTCTGCAGACATCGCAACAAGAAAAGCAAGTTGCTCTGACCTAAGCCTAGAAAAAATTCAACTTCATCAAGATGTAGCAGCAACCATAAAACAAAACACTTGCAAAACATGGCAAAATCATTGGAATGGACAAAATTCAAACCTTCTTATAACCAATCCTACTGTTTACTCATTTAAGATGCCTACAATGACTAGGAGGGACAAACTTATAATTCGAAGACTTCGAATAGGACACACACGCATCACTCACGGATACCTGATGAGTTCCGAAAACTCACCTGCTTGTGAAAATTGTGATTATCAGCGCCTTACAGTAGAACACTTACTCGTCGAGTGCAGTTATTATAGACTATATAGATTAGCTCATAATATAAACGGTAACCTGATACAGATTAGTTAATGAGGCATTTTCAAAATTGAAACCGTGCAAAAATGTTCCCGACTCTTGATACGCATTGGTAATTGTTGATGATACTGATGGTCGAGAACAACTTTCAGCAATCATTTCCGATATTGGCGAATCATGAGGGTTTAAAATTTTTTGAGCATTATCGTTCTTATTTCTTATTAAATCCTCTATATATCCTTCCGCAACCGTGCTTGATTTCCAGCCCTCATGTCGTTTGAGGCATTCTAGATTTCCGCCTCCATAAATTAAAAGTGTTGCTGAAGTTCGTCGTAAAGAGTGACACGTGTATGAGCTTGCATCGTTTAAATTTAAATAACTAGCTACTTTTTGGGCTACTGCGCTGATCGAATCTATTCCCATGACGCTTCAGTAACACTTTCCATTTTGATACTTGATAAAAAATCGGTTTTCTGTGAAATTTTCAGGCCGCAGTGATGCATACTTTTTATACAGTTTAATGTAGTTTTAACCAATTATCGTAAAAGATCTAATTTTTCGTGTTTTACTGTCTGGGATTTTGATAATTATTACATTTTCTTTATCCTCAATGTCCACAGTCTTCATTTTTACCATTTCGTCGCATCGACAGGCGCTGGTAACCCCAATTAATAAAACAATTTGAAATATTTTTATAATTTCGTAGAGTATACTACATGCTTTGCAATATAATTTTTTTTACCTTTAATCGTCTTTAGTGAAAACCTTAAACTTCTTTGCAGTATATCCTTCGCTTGTTTTTTCAGAAAGGCACGTAACTTTAAAAATTTGCTTATATCCACATTTTTTCTAATAACTAACTCGGATTTTATCATAGAGTATCCTGACCACATTGTAGAAGATTTCCTTTTATTTTCATTTTCCATTATATTAAAATATGCCAGTAACGCGTCTTCGGTAACTTGCCGTCCTCCTCTTATATCGCACCACTCTTAGAAG